ATACTTAAACATTAAAAATGACTATAATTCTGAAGAGCCATCCTACATGTATACTAACATCCACGTGCCTTATTTATTCAAAAGTTTGAATTTAGAATTTGTTATCAGATTTCGTTGTCATTGGGTTGAGATGGTTGAATTACAGAGAGTACTGTATTTTTTAGAGCCCCGTCAAATGAAAGCGGAAATCCTCAGACCAGACTGCGAGTATAAATGACAGTGTTCAATCCAATATGGGCTCCTACGTCAAAGATTCATCGCTTTTAAAGCATAATCAATGGTATCAAGTTTTCTGAATAATTTATTGTTCGACCGTATTATCTGAGTTAAAAACGTGGAAAAGCCATTTAGCTACATCGAATTATTAAGCTCTTCATTTCATTAAAAGTGATGGATCATTGTCCATCTAAAAATTTTACCTACGATACCGTTTTCAACTAGCCCTCCTAACCTTCCTTGAACCAGGTTCGATTAAAGGAAAAAGTAAATTCAATTCAAATTTCACTTGAATAAAAGTTTCGTCTACCTAGGCACTTTAGCATTTATTTGGAAATTATAGGGCTACAAAATATCTTCTAGATCGCAGGGTCCCTTCTTCTTTTACACCCAATCTTCTAACTATTTGATTTTCAAACTATACGAGTATCATCGACAACCGGATAACCGGATTCCGGATACCATGCAAAAAATAAGAGCCGGTTTCGGATATCCTATCGGATATCCGGTAGACTGCTACCCTTAATAAATTTAACAATATTGTTATATTCGATTTTGTTGTTTAGGGACATACTTATGGCCAGATTATTTGCTTTTTCGAGCTGAACTGTCCAATACGAAATCAATAGCAAAACATTTTTTTTATAGACAAATTTAAACTGTTTCATATATTTTTCCGTAATAAAAACTGACAAAAATTTGTCACTAATACAGCATAGAGCCGTAAGAATTCAAAATTTCTCCTCTGAAATCCAAGTTATAAAATAATCGTGTTTTATAAAGATAACTTCTCTGTCTGCAACCCGGATTTATCGATTATTTTTGGTAAATAGAGCGGAGAGATCAAAGAAAAATTATAAACAATAATGAACGCCGCTAGGAAAAACACGTGGTTCATGTATTTTTATTTTAAAATGTGATGAAAATCGAACTGCTTCATTGTTGCAATATTTTGGGA